ATCCTGATAACTGCTTGCACTTATGATTTTAAACACCATATTATCTCCATTAGAAGTGCATGTGCTTAAATGTAAATGACAAAGGCAAGTCTGTGGTCGAAATAAGGCATAGTTGTACTTCATGCCTCGAATACGCTTAGCACACTTGAGTTGTTTTTAAGGTTTCTTTGATCTTAAATGCTGTCGTAGAAGAACTATTTCTCGAAATATCTAACTATTTTGAATCGTTATTTAGGAAATCGTGTATTAAATAGTATGAGGTTATTAGAGGATACCTCAAAATATGCACGAAGACAGTACAATCGGGAGTATCGACCGACGCGTACTGCCTGATGAAAATATTACATTACGGCACGCTGTAACTTATGGCGTTACGGTGACAGATGTATAATAATATCTATTAGATCAATTGAGAGGTGTCCGACGTAGTCTCCTTCGTAATGTCATCGTATGAGGGCGGTGCACAAGTTGGCAAGACGACGCTTTCTTGACCTCCGGTGCCTGATAAAAAAATAAAAAAACTGTATTACGCCGGTATATACGAAACGATAGTGTACCTACATGTTTATACGTATAAGTAAGTGAGGTCACTGTATAAGATGGATGAGATGCTGAGAGCTGAACATTCTTAAAGGTCGCTGTACTTACCTGTTGTTTGTTCATAGGTAGGTGGTGTGAGGATGACTCGTGTAGGCACTTCAATATCCGTGCTATTATTAGAACGCCTCGCCGTGTTATTACCCAATGCTAGAGCACAGATAGTACCCGTCATACTAATACCAATATCTTTACATGTGAATTTACGATATGCCTAAATAAAATACATAAACATGAATATAATAATGTGAAATAGGAATTGCGGTGATAAACTGTTTTATTCTTTTGTAGATTTGAACACATTCGGGGCAAATCAAATTAAATACTAATATCACTATACACAGCTAATACTAGCTGATGTGACCAGGGAATACAGCAAGTATACGCAACCATGGTCTCGAAGTGAGAAGTACTAAAACGACGCTCACGTACTTATAACACCAATATTTTTTGAATGATCTGTTAAATTTTAGATTTTAGATTTCACGGAAAGAATCCTAGTTGTTCAGTAGGACTAATATCCAGGTTAGCTAAAATTGAATTTGTTCTCTGTGATCTCATCTGATATTCATTGAGTTGCCCGTAAGCCTCGGCCGTCGGTCGTTAAAGGTGATCATGTTTCCCAAAATAACACCGAATTATATTAATGGAGCCCAGTGTGCAAATACATTGCATTGAAGATACAATTGTGAGGATGCGATCGTTAGGTTTCATGCTACGTTATACAACACGTGTAAAATCATTGATTACACGACGTGTTATACGACGATGGCCGATCTTCAGTCACATATCGATAATCAGCTTGAGGCCTTGTACCCTTCTGCCAATGTGACGAAACTATCAAATCACCCTAAAATAGACCGCAATCGCAATTATATATTGTAGTGCACAATTATCAAACTAACTACAGCAAAATACATACATACATGCATACATACACATAAAACAGACAGTTTGGAGAGGAAATGTGTCGCTCAAAGGGTTAAACCTAACCGTATTATATCATTGCACTCACCGTATAAGCTGGACACATAACTAAACAACAGGGTAGACAACAAATCCACAAGTCGACAGTTTCCGGAGAGCAATCAAAACAATGGTGATACTTAGTGTGATTCGTGATACAAATTCTACCATACTTGCTGTAATAGCTTCCCTGGCAAAGAGTGTCTCCGCCCAATGTGTCGGCGAACCATTCCTTGATCAAATCACTGAAGTCGAACTGTAATTAATAACAGAGTAATTAGGTAGTGTCATTTATACTATGATACTTCTGTGGTGCGTGAATATGATAGTTGCAGATGAAATAACACTAAGTGACGATATGTTATGAGAACACTATCTATGCTATCGATGAAGAGCCATTGCTCGAAACGTCTAGCTATTTTTAATAGTTACTTAGGACTACGATTACCAAATATTATCTACTAAATATCACAATACTATAAGTGTATTGAGTAACCTCAACAAGTAGCCAAGATATACAAATAATCGACAAAGATCGAACCTAATTCAGATTTCGGATTACTGAGCAATGCCCTAAGGGAGGAATTCTCATTAAAGATAATAAAATGGAGTAAAATGATAAATACAACCATGTAATCGAAACAAAATGTGACATGAAGAAATATGTACATATATACATAGACCAATACAAAATAGACGTAACAATATAGAATTTCGTTATAATATTCTAAATCGTTTATAAAAAAAAACTGTCCAGTATTACAGTAACTGTTTTTACTTTTTTGTATTTTGCAGGAATCAGAAAATAAATAGAAAGTTTGAAAATATGACATTTGAATTCCAGGTGTGTGAATTGGGATATAAACACACCTAATACGTAGTGATGTATAAAATGAAATGGATACATATAAAAAAAGATATATAGTATTACAAAAAATAGTGGGTTTTTAACGAGGAAATGCGATCTATGGAAATCGCTGCTAAAATGACATTTTATAACATATTATTTTACAGTTTTTCTCATAAACAGATTTACAGTGAACCAAAAAACTGAAAAAAATACATATACTGTTGAATAATTGTAGACAGAGTTTGATACGAAATGTTGTTACTGCTATATGCGCTAAAATATACACACATGTAAAAATAACTCACGAGTACTATAATACTTTAAGGATAGATACGACTAAATGTTCCACATGTCTGGCTAATTTAAACACTACGACAAAGACTTTCGGTATCGACATTGTAGAATTCTTTCGTTTTTTGGAGAAAAAAAAAACTGAAAAAAACTGATTTTGACAAGATAATTTAGAAATTTTTATTGAGAATAATTCATAACGAAATGCATTCCCTATGCACCCATAAATAATTTTCATAATTACAATTACACAAGAATATTAAAGAAAAAAAGATAATTTGCTATATTCTCTATATTTTTGCCTTTTATTTGTCTTGAATTATGACTATGAATTATGAAGCTGAATGATATTACAAACTGTGTAGTGTGATTACCACTTTACTTTAATAAATATGGCTTGGTAAACAAAATTTCTGCATAAAAAACGAAAGAATTTCACAATGTCGAAACGGAAAGTCGTAATCGCAGTGTTCTATTTGAAAGTGACAAAACCCTTTATGTATTTTAACTTTTGCTAGTTTGCACCACTTGCCTCTAATGCAAATTTTTCCCCATTACTTATATATTTTCTGGCTTCGTCAATACCTCTTTGCAGTTGTTCCTTGATGTGCGGATGCTTTGTGTTGACTAGAACGGCAAAATAGGCTGGAGGGAGAGAATATATCATGCAACTCGGAAAAAAATAATATATACGCACATTACAGAATAATAAAAGCATAATAATATATGTATTTCGGATACTTGTGGTCATGTCTGGAGATTCGGCTCGTTGTTACCTATTTCACGTAAAGCTATGTTTTCATGCAACACAATATGTGTTGTTTACAGGATTTTATCGCTTCTACAAATACAGGTAATTGTTAGTCTGCAAAATGATACATGGGGGATAGACCACTACCACGATGTTTTTGTTGTCATTTGTTTTATACCGTTTTTTATATAACCGTCTCCATCCAAATTGCGATTGCTTTTGGCCGCACACCTCTAAATATCTTTCAAATAAAACCCAACCACACACACACACACACCGGGGAATTTCCCCCTACCGCACCCCACGCCCCTACAACAACCAACCAACCAACCAACCAACCGGGGAATTCCTCCGACCACAGCCACGCACTTGCATCGTCCGCCTGCACGGTGTTGTTCCATTCGAACATTCCCACA